CATTTTTGAGCTTTCGATTTCAGGATTCTTGTATTTTGAGAGTTTTTTGAAGATCCTCAAAGATACATTACAATCTGCAAGAATTGTTATGTCAATAAGAAAGCACATTCTGTTTTTGTGGTCTTTTATCGCGATGTCTGGGCGATTGGCTTTCATTGTTCTGTCTGTGTTTATTGTAAAATTCCATAAAATTGTTACAAGTCCCATGTCTGTAAATGGCTCTGGGTAGTGTTCATACCAATTTTTTGCAGTTTTCTTTCTGTAGAAGTTGTATTTGAGCTAACACAATTTTTCAATATGTGTGTTTGGTAATTTCTAGATAGAAAGCATTTGTTTTGTATTTACAGTTGGATTGTGTTTAGTTCTCAACTGAAAGTTAATTAGCAACATGTAACCCCAAAATAAACTTTCAATGAACATCTCTAGCGAACTTAGGTTGAGGAATTTAAGTTGTGAAGGAACTTTCCCTTGAGAACGAAATACAAAATTCATCTGGAGTCGTTTTGTAACTAAAAATGTTAGCCTATCACTTTCGCATTGCCTTTTTTCTGCTGATAATAAATATTTCTTTTCATGTTAACAAAAAACGAAACAGACTCTGATTACGAAAAATGCAAACCGGACGGAACACTAAAATCAGAACTAAACGACTGGTACTTGTTCCATGATTTTCTTCGTGACGTCCTTTGGTATGAAGTTTTTAATTATCCTGTTCAAAAAAAAAAAAAAAAAAAAAAAAAAAAATAAATAAAATAAATAAATAAAATAAAATAAATTTGCGTCTGACGTCTCCTGTGTGAAAGCCGGTATCGATGATTTCATTCCAGTAAGAAAATATCAAATTAAGTCGCTTTCGTCTCCTTGGTTCTCACCTCAATGTTCGGTTGCTATAGTCCACAGAAATCCCTTTTTCCGGCCGTACCAGAGCGACACGTCTGATCGCAACAGACGTCTTTTTGTCTCTGCTCGTAATGAGTGCAAGCGTGTCCTCAAAGAGGCGAAGTTACTGTTTGCTGATAGAATGTAACAACGTATAGCATCCCGCAAGATCGGTTCTAGAGATTATTGGCCGCTCTGCAACAGTATACTGAACAACATCAAATCTTCAATCAATTCGAAGCCCTGACATCTACAACAGATGAAGTTAAATGCTTTGCTTGTAAATTCTTTTCCAACTCAACTCTCGACTCATTTGGAGTACCCACACCTAATTTTCCCACTAGGACAGAGGCTTTACTGAATGATATGCGCATAACCCCGTCATTTTCAAGCGTAGGTGACGGGATTCCAGCCATCGTCTTAAAGAAATCTGCTACCGAGCTGGCTCCAGTTCTCTCCAAACTCTACAACTATTGCCTCACTGCTTCCTGCTTTCCAGGTTCTAGGAAGTCTCCCTCTGTAGTTCATGTTTTTAAGAACTCTGGAGAATCTGACTCCTCTAACTACCGCCCTCTTAGACTCCTTTCGCTTTTCGACAAAGTATTCGAGGCTTTAATCAATGCTGAAGTGGTTAAGCATCTTACCTCTCACGACCTACTCTCTGATAAACAATATGGTTTCTATTTTGCCAGGTCTACCGCTGGTACGCTAGCGGACATCACTGAATATGTATATAAAACTCTTGATAACGGTGAAGCTCGAGCTGTGGCTGTAGATATCTCGAAGGCTTTTGACAGGGTTTGACACACAGGTCTTCTACGTAAGCTCCAGGGCTACGGTATTACTGGACTTTTGTTTGAGTTAATCCAAACATTCCTATTAAATCGTGAAGTGAAGGTTGTATTGAACTGGCTCGTTTTCAGATGCTTTCATACGAATGTAGGTGTTCCCCAAGGCTCTATCCTGGGCCCTACACTGTTTCTGATCTTCATCAATGATCTTCCTGATGTCATCAGTTCCCAAGTAGGCATTTATGCTGATGAAACTACCATTTACTTCTGTTTCAATAGCAAATCCGTTAGATCTGACAAAGTTAACCTGAACACTGCTCCTGAAAAGGACCTCCAATCAGTGGTTAACTGGGGCAGAAAATGGCTTGTAAATTTGAATGCCTCCAAAACGAAACTGCCATAGAGAAACTTTTTTCCCCGCCAACATCATGGCTGATGCTAGACTCCAGGAGAGCAAAACACTCCGCCCTCTTGGCCTCACGTTTTTTTTTGCACTTGAAGTGAAACGACTACATCAAATCAATAGCTGCATCTACTGCAAGGAAAGTTGGGTCACTGTGTCGTGCCAAAAGGTTTTTCTCGTCAAATTCCGTCTTGCACATTTACAAAACTACCATTCATCAGTGCATTGAATACTGTTGCCACATATGGTCTCGTGCTCCGGTTATTCGTCCTAAGGTTCTCGACAAAACCCAATGAAGGATCTGCAATGTAACCCATTTTGATTTGGCATCTCGACTTCAGTCACTTTCTTACCGACGTCAGGTGGCTTCCCTCTGTCTTTTTTACAAATATGTTAATGGAAAATGCTTTGATGAGCTTTTTTCCCCCTGGCGACCCATCTAAATGAATTTAAGCGTGGTACTAGATTGACATCTAGGTCCCACCCTTTTCACTGTTTAAATAGTTAAATGCAACCGTCACTTCTACTCCAACAGTTTCTTTTCTCTCACTTCTTGCCTGTGGAAGTCCCTTCGGATTTCTTGCTTCCCTGATAACTACAATCTTCAAAAATGTAAATGCAACGTCAATCGACATCTCCTAGAACCCCGTTCAGAGTTTATACATTCCTCACTCACCCATCCCCAGTGTTTTCCCTCAATTTCATTCTTTGTAACCCCCTGCGTACTATTGGCATTCCCGCCTTGCTTGGGGTGAAATGATTAAAAAAATGCATCCACAGAAGACCATTCATTGTGTCTGGTGGGATATTAATGTTGCCATCGATTACGTATCGATTGGAACTTGGAAGGGCAATCACTGAAAATGTCTATCTCTTGTAACTTTGATCATACAAACGAATCATTACGTTAAGATTTTCCCGCTTTTCTAAAAATGAGGTATGTTAATTTTCCAGCATGACAATTCCTAATCCGCTGATAAACCCAAGAAAAAAAAAACATCTTTAAGATGAGAAATTATTTCACATCATCGATACTCACCAGATTCAACGCCGAGAAATTTCAATATTGTTTAGATCACCAGAATATTTCGTTAGGTACAAAACATTGAGAAAGAAAGTTGAAGAAAAACAGACTTGTTTCGATGTGGTATCGAAATTTTGCTATCTGTTGGGCTGCAGTCATTCAAAATGAAAACGATTATATTTTGATAAATAATATTTTAATAAAGTTAGGATACCTTTGGTTTTAAATTCTTTTTGTTAAAGTGTATTTACTTTCCGATACCCCAAATAAATGAGAAACTGTATACGGAGGAGAAGCCATAACATCAACTTTAACTTTTCACTTTACATCTTTGTACAAAATACAGTTCTTGAAATGGGCGTGTTTTCATAAACTTTTGATACCTGCTCAGAGAGCATGGAATTTGTTTCACTTGGTGACCGTCAGATTCGTAATATAATTTTAGTGTTTTGTGATTTAAATTGAATTGAATTTTTTTTATCGGAATCCTCTCACTGCCACTAAAACGCAAGAGGTTTCAGGGTGTGGAAGAATTAAGAACAGAAACAATAAGCATGAGAAAAAAAGAGAAAAGAGTAATCAGGAGGACAGTAGATAGCGATTGACATTGCATTTAAATTTTTGCAGATTGAAGTTGGCTGGAAAGCATGGAGTCGAAAGGGAGTTTCACAAGGAAGAAGTGCAAGAAAATATGTTAGCATAGAATTTTCGGCTACATCCAGCCAACTCTACTTTAATTTGGTGAGATCTCGACGCCAGTCTCTTGTTGCACTTAAATTCAAAATTTTTTACCATAGCGAAGAGCTCATTCGAACAATTACCATGAAAATATGTATAGAAAAGACACAGAAAGGCAACTTTAAGGCGGTGGGGACGTGACTGGAGCTGAGCTGCCAGGTCAGGTCCAATATTATTGCTGATTCTTCTTTGAATCTTATCAAGGAGATCAAAATAAATAGCAGTGCACCGTATGTGGCAGGAATATTCTAAGCATGGACGAATGGTAGACTTATAGATAGGTAAGATAGATTCTGGAACGAATAACTGTCTCGCTCGACATAGCGAACCGATTTTTTAAGCAGCTGATTTAACAGTGGATTCAATATAATCTTTCCACTTCATATTAGCAGAGAACGTGATCCCGAGAAGGCGAAACGAGTTACTTTCATAGAGGATAACACACACACACACACACACATATATATATATATATATATATATATATATATATATATATATATATATATATATATATATAATATACGTTCTTTTCTTTTTATAGACACAAATATTGGGCCACAGAGTAGCGTTCGGTTAGCAAGATCGATTTTACTGTTTTTAAACTACAATTCTCCATGATTTTCTCTCATTCATTCATATCTGCTTAATACGTATCCAAATGTAAACAAATGACGTCATACATTATGAAATCGACAAAGTTCGACAATTATTTAAGACATGTTTATACGTTCTTTTTATAGATATATATAATGTATATATAATTTCTCGGACATTCAATCGCTTAAGGCATGTCAGGCTATATGACGGTTCCGTATAGGATACAGGTTCGATTCAGGCCGGTAAATGTTGTTAATACTGTTTATTATAAGCAGAGCATTTACTTAAATATTTTGATCTATAAAAAAGAACGTATAAACATAAAATGTCTTAAATAATTGTCGGACGTTGTCCATTTCATTATTATATATATATATATATATATATATATATATATATATATATATATATATATATATATATATATATATATATATATTACATGCAGGCACGACAAATATTAATGTGAAAGGAGTTTAAGTGAAATTGGACTTCAGCGATCCCAGCGTACCAACCTTTAACCTGAACAGAATCGTATAAAAGCCATTTTTTCGTACATTTATTGATGCTTCTTTATCCGCCCGTTTGTGGTCGTATGTTTAACTTTCCAACCAAGAGACTAGAGTTCGAATCTCACTATTGCCGATTCATCTGGGATGTGAAATTTTCTGTTATCGGCGTGGGGGAGACTGTTCCCAGTGTCTGAGAAGCGTACCACGCAGTGTGAAATTGGGCAAAGAGGATTGTTGATCTGTTAATACGAAGTTCTCAGTCAACGTGACCGAGGATTTTAGTTCTGTGGCCTTTGTTCAAACTGCTCATCAAATCAGATTATGGTCTCTCTCTCTCTTTTCCCCCCTCTTTCTCTCCCTCACTCTCTCCCACGCTCTCCCCCCTCTCTCTTTCCTCTCTCTCTCTCCCCTCTTTATACTATATCTCTCCCTCTCTCCCCCATTGCCTCTCCCCTCTCTCTCTCCACCATGTCTCTCTCCACCCTCATTCTCCCACTTTCTCCTTTCCCTCTTTCTCCCAATCTCTCACCACCCTCTCTCTCCACCATCTCTCTTCCCACTCTCTCTCCCCTCCCTCTCTCCACTCTCTCTTTTCCCCCTCTCCTCTCTCTCCCCCACTTTCTACCCTCTCCCTCTCCACTCTCTCCCCTCTCTCTCCACCCTCTCTCCTCACCTCTATACCCCCTCTCCCTTTAAATCCCTCAATCTCTCTCCATCCTCTCACTTCTTCTCTCTCTCCCACCCCATACCCCACTCTCTATCCCCTCTCTCTCCACCATGTCTCTCTCCCCCTCTCCCCTCTCTCCCTCTCAATCCCCCACTCTCTCTCTCTTGACCTGCCAGTTATGAAAAATCATTCTCAAAGATTCTTAACGATGCTTTATCTTCTAAAGTTTTTGAATTACCTTATTTCTCTTTTTATTCTTCTACCCCATTCGCGACTTTTACAAACTTAACTTGGATCATTCGAGGAATTTTTGCAACCTTCATTTGAGTCACTAACAGTAGCGGCCACTTCGCAACTTTTTTGAGTCACAACCACTAGTGGCATCTTTGCAGTCATCATTTGGATCGCGACCGTGACTGACATCTTTGCAAACTTCATTTGGATCACGACCATTAGAGGCATCTTTGCAAAATTCATTTGGGTCACATTTATTAGAGGTAATATTGTAACATTCATTTGATTTAATACCGTTAGAGGCATCTTTGCAATTTTAATTTCAGACACTACTATTAGGGGCATCTTTGTAACGTTACGACCATTAACGGGTTTTTGCAATCTTCATTTGATTTAAGGTCATTAGAGGCATCTTTGCTAACATGCCAATTATTGGTATCTTTGCAACCTTTATTTTGGTTCACGGCCATTAATTTAGGACTTATTCATTCAGATCTTTCAGCTAGAATCTCTTTGATGATATCAAAGAAGCTATTAAATTTATCGGCTTTCCATGGTGTAATTCGTTGCAAACGTAATTTTCGATATGCTGTCACGAAATAATGTGCACCGGGAAACGTTATGTTAAGGAAATGATTAGAATCTAATTATTCATCCTTTCACCAATGCTCTTGTACTGTTCAATCATCAATCTGTGGGTCCCTCCCAGTTACCCATTATTTCCATCTGACCTACAGCTATAACCTCATCTTCAGGCAGAAGAGAGTTTTCATGATTGATCAGTCACGTCTGAGGTGAACTCTTCCAGCGTTCGGGCGTTTTCATATCGCCATCATTTGTATCGGTTGCGTGTCCATTGTATTCTTGCAGGCGGGAATGCACGTTTGTTCTCATATCAAAGAATCATTTGGAAATGAGATTGTTGCTTTTTTTTTTTCGCAATCCTGGAGGTCTTCGCGTCACCTTACGTTCTCCAAGTTTCTTGTGTCTTGATTCTTGTAAAGACACTCTTATTGGTTCGTGTATTTTATCTTTCGTTATTCTGAAGCGATCTTTTTGAAGGTCCTATTTAAAAAAAAAAAAAGTTAAAAAGAAAAAAAGAAAAGTTTTTCACGGCTTCCTAAAACTGAGGAAGATTTTTCTCTTCTCTCTCTCTCTCTCTCTCTCTCTCTCTCTCTCTCTCTCTTATTCTCGCACATTTTTTCTTACTTTTTTCTTCTTGCTTTTCTCCTTTTCTTTTATTTTTCTGATTGATTCATTTTTACGTCTTATCAATCTTTTGCAGGTTATTTAAAGCCAGAAAATATTTTTAGATTGTAAGATTTGTTTTGAGATTGGGGGTCGGGGGGAAGAGGAGGATACATAGCTTTTATCCCAAGATTATTCTTGCCTAAGAACCCGATTAGAACTCTGTACTCCGATTTTCAATTCTGAGCCGTTATCCATTACACCACCTGCACATCCCTGCTTACAGCACCTGGTATTCCTAAGGTTCGACTTTGGTTAACTTTGGTGATTGTACAGGTACCGGTGTTTCAACGTGATACGGCCGTAAGCTTTTTTTTTTGCCTCTTTCTCTGACATTCCTTCTCTTTCTTCGTTTCCTTCCTTTTACTTCACTTAAACTTCGTTAGGCCTCACGACTGCGTTTAAGCATGAAACTGTCGCCGCTGTGTGTTGTTGACCTCAATGCACACTTTTATATTTACATACTCTCTCTCTCTCTGTCATATATATAGGGGAAACGCTGTTACGTAAGCTGCAATGACAATCAAAATACAAGTAGATGAGAATTCAAAAGAACTTGACAACAAACCTTGCTTATAATAATTAATGCCTTAATGTTTGGGTTAGACTAAAATAGAAATCATTCTAACTAATTAATAACAAATTTTACTATAAAATTGAAAATTAAAAATTACCAATTTTAAATTTTAAATTTAATCTGTATTAAGTTTAAAATATTATAAAATTATTTAAAAAAGAAACTGCGGAAAAAATACATATTTTATTATTTATTTTGTTTTAATTGAAAGGCCAAAAGAATAAACGTTAATCTAATGGGAATGTAAAGTTTCGTTACAACTTCGATACATTTGAAATGTTGATATGGACAGGGGAGGAGAAAATCTTCTAAAAGACAAATACATACGCAATCAGATTATAATACATAAACACGTCGACAAAAATATTTTATTCATACATTCTTTTTATAGATACAAATATTTAAGTAAATGCTCTGTTTATGATAAACAGAATTGACAACATTTACCGGCCTGAATGTCTGAGAAATTTTCATAGAAAATATGTGTCCTCCGATAGGAATTTGAACCTGTATCCTATACGGAACCATCATTTAGCTTGACGTGCTATAACATCTGTAGCTAAATGGTGTAGCACGTCAGGTTATATGACGATTCTGTGTAGGATACAGGTTCGATTCCTGTTGGCGGACACATATTTTCTATGAAAATTTCTCGGTCATTCGTTGAAATAAGAGAGGTGTCAAAATTGAGAGGTGTCAAATTTGAAAGAAGAGAGTGGACAAAATTGAAAGAAGAGAGGTGCCAAAATTAAAAGATGAGAGGTGTCAAAATTGAAAGAGAGGTGTCAAAATTTAGAGGTGTCAAATTTGAAAGAAGAGAGGTGTCAAATTGAAAGAAAGTTGAAAAAATTGAAACATGAGAGGTGTCAAACTTGAAAGAGAGGTGTCAAAATGGAAAGAAGAGAGGTGTCAAAATGGAAAGAAGAGAGGTGTCAAAATTGAAAGAAGAGGGGTTTCAAAATTGAAAGAGATGTGTCAAAATGGAAAGAAGAGCTGTGTCAAAATTGAAAGTGAAATGTCAATATTGAAAGAAGAGAAGTGTCAAAATTGTCCGTAGTGATTTTTGTCATTCGACCAATTCAGTAGCCATTTTCAAAAGCTTTGTTGTTAGTATATTTTTCTGTTAGGCTATCTTGTGTATATTAACATATCATCTAACATTTGCTATATTTATAAGGGAAGTGAGCCCAGTATCAGGGACAGAGAATTTATGGAAATAGACAGTGTGAACATAAAAATCAACACTGTATTGTGACTGTTATTTTCACTCTTCAAACCATGATCTGGACTGAAGATAATTGAGGTGTGAAACTGACAGTTCCCATGCAGTGTTGATTGCTATGTCTACTCTCTCTCTCTCTCAATTCTATATAATTCTATCTGATTCTATTTTATTCACATCCCTCCCTCGGCGGATTTACTTGAGTTTTCTAGTTTGGAACAAGGCCACATTTCTGGCGTTCTCATTACAAATCTAAATATGCTTCATGAAACTTCGGAGCCTGTTAAAAGAGATAGCAAAGATAAAAGCTTATTAGAAAAGATCCACTTCCAGTGGGGGGGTCTCCACACTTTTTGGAGGAACGCCCCCCTTGCTGACCGGGAGAGTAGATGTATTTGCCACGCTTGGCCAATTGCGTGTTGAGGCTAGTTAACCCATTGAATGTTTTAAATTCACAGTTGTTCTTCTTCTAGACAGGTTGCCAACCAAAGCTACAAGACCCAGTCTGTTCGGCTACGAATGGGGGAGAATAGATGGATTCGTACTTTTCCCAATGTTATTTGCACTTAAGTGAATGGAACATACTCGACTGGGATTCCTCAATTAGAACCGTTATCCATTACTCCGTCTTGCCTCCGAAGCCTGTAACCGTTCTAAATTACCTGGTGTATATCTGTGAATCCGTATGTTCACCTGTGTGTAGGTCAATTACGTTTGGTATTTCCCACACTAAAAACCATTTCCCGAACATACAACACATAAGTACTGAAGTACTTAGAATCACAGGCCGTGATTACTTGTGTTTGTGCGTTTGTGTGTGTGTGTGTGCGCGCAGACAACTTATATAATTGCTTCAGTGATGTTGAGACCAAATATAGAAAATATTAGAACCAGTGCCCGCATTTATTTCCCACACCCACTTCTGTGGCTAAGGTAAGTATCCGAGGGCTTTGGAAATTCTTTCTTTCTTTCTTCTGCGGCAGTTGCTTTTGTGGCGGGTAAAAAGCTCTGTCGTGTAATTATGGCGGTCGCCCACGCAATAAGATTTGTGATCGTCAATTTTTAAGGCGGGAATCGATCACTATGAATGGATCGAAGGAAGATAGTGAGAAAGAATGACGTTAAGAATAGAAAGGGAATATATATATATATATATATATATATATATATATATATATATATATATATATATATAAAGAGAGAGAACTGTAAAACATAAAGTAAAAAAGAAGGAAAATTTGAGGTAAAACGAAAGGAAGGAAGGGAAGAAGAATAGAACGAATTAACGAATAAAGGAAGGATGGAAAGAAAGAAAGAATGAATGAATGAATGGATTAATGAAGGAAGGAAAGAGGGAATAAATAAATAAATATAGAATTAAAGAATAAATTAATGAATGAATGAATGAATGAAAGAATGAATGAATGAATGAAGGAAGGAAGGAAGGAAGGAAGGAAGGAAGGAAGGAAGGAAGGAAGGAAGTATCCAATAAAAAGAAAGAACGAGAAAGATAAACAGACAAAAAAAATGAAGGATGATAATGAAAGAAACTGAAATAGGAACGTAAACTATATTTGGTAATTTTGAATAATAATAATAATAATAATATGGAAAATGCAGAAAAAGAAAGAAATAATTTACTCACAGATATGGGAGACAAGCATACTATCCATGGCGCTACGGTAGGGAACCTTCATTTTGCTTAGTATGACACATGGTCATGCTATGGTAACGAAATTTACTGTATGAGTGAATGGTCTGTGTGAAGGCGCTTTCAGAAGAAAATGGGAATCTTGTTTTCTCTAACACTCTCTCCGCTCTCTCTCTCTCTCTCTCTCTCTCTCTCTATATATATATATATATATATATATATATAGTGTATATTTAGGCAGCAATCCTTCATTTATGAATGTTTCATTAAAGACAACAGACAAGGTACTGCGATTAAGCTTTTTCTTTAATTTTTCTTGTGTTTAAACAAGTGTTTTCTTCTTTGGATACAAAGTGTGTAAAAACTGTCCCAATTTTTTATAATTCCGAGCGCTTTCGGCTATACCTTTAGCCATTATCAAAGATGATTTTATTTTTGCATTTTAATTGGGGGTATGGATTGTGTGTACGTTTCTAGAGTTAAAGGCATGTTTTATTTTCCGAGCACAGTCAGCCCATTGTGGCCGTGTTCGTAGTTAATATTATTAAGTGTTGGTTTTTTCTTTTTTATTATTATTAAGGCTACAATTATTTTTAATCTTTTTTTTTTTGCCTGTGGACGAGGTTATGTTTGTATCTTCTATTAGTATGTTTCAGATGAAGTCTGGTAAGTTTGGGTGTGTGTTTAAATGGGTTCTAATTAGAGCTGTGGTCAGATAAGTGTAATGTAAGATGTCTGGATTTGTAGTAGTTGTGTGACCGATATAATTATTTATGAATTCGGTTTAATCAGGAACACAGTTCCTTAAGGGGCATTTGAACTCATAGATAATGTTCGTTCGTTGTAATTTTGACTTAGCCGGTGTGTTGTTATTTTTGAGAATAAGGTTAGCGGTCTTAAATTTTTATAGTAGATAATTAATTTGATATTTTTGTTTGGGTCAATTGGGGTAGTGTATTTCTTTATAATATGTCTTAGTGAAGATTCGTCTTGTTTGTAATTAATATGCATTTGGTTTTTGTAGAAAATATTTGTTATTTTCGACTATGTTTACTATCGTTGTTATTTACTTTGGGGAGAAATAGTCTAATTTATATCTATAAAATGGTTAGGAAAGCCATTGTTAATTAGTGTGTTTTTTTACATTATTGGGTTAAGGAAGAGTAGTCGAGAGGTTGAATTCTGTTGTGCTCTTTTTAGGAAGTTTTTTATCACTGCTATTTTATATCTGAGTGAACATTCGCTTTTAAAATTAATGTGGCAAGTGTTTCTGCTAATGGGTTTTTTATACAACGAGGTGATAAAAGTGTTATTACTATATTCTACGAGAACATCTAAGAATGAGAGTTTTTTTTTAACTAAGTTCATTGGTAAAGTTGAAGACAGAGTTTTTCTCGAATGTGGTATCTATTTCTTTAGTGTTATTTGCCAAACTAAAAATATTGTCTACGTAGCGGACATATATTTTACGTTTACAGACCTGTTTAAATATTGTATTTTCTACATGGGACATGTAATTGGAAAAGAATGGACTGAGTGGATTTCCCATACT